TTTGATGGAAAATTTACGAAATTATGCTCACAAATTTTGACGTGTCACCGATATTTACGCATCGGCGATTTTGCTTACGTTGACTCCCATTTTAGGCCAATTATATTACTCCAGTCGACCAAATTCTTAGCTATTTTACTAGTATTACTTCTATTTTATCGATTGAGCACAAAAAAATCGCCAGGTCAACTGTTGCAACTACAAAATAAAGTGATTGGAAATTTGTAATTTGGCCAATTTAATGCAAAGTTCAAAATATTCTAATTTCAAAATAGGGTCCAGAATAAACAATGCAGACATTCCTGGCACTAAACTAACATTTCCTCTGTTCATTAGTTATGTTTTCAGGCTTTACAAATGAATCCCATTTTGAATTTTTATTCACATAATGAATTTTTATTCAAACCAAAAAATAGAAGATTTACTGTTATGCAATACTGTAATAATTGTATAAATAATATCACCACATTTGTGAACGTATATTAGACCCACCAGCTGGCGTGTATTAGACGTGTGAGATCATTTGTTTACTCTTGAACATCAGCAAAAATTTAACATTTCTGCTATTTTGAGCTCAGTTTCAACCCATTTCCATTACAATCAAAATCATCTCTATTTCTGTAATATATTTTCAATTCTATCAAATGAGACCAAGAAATTGCAAATACAACTATAAAAAACATATGAAAAACACTGCAAAGTTGCTGTTTTAATCGAAAATTAGTCTCAGTTTTTTTCTCTCAAGCACTGTGTGCTGCAGGATTTGTTTTATGTGGTGCACACATACCACATAGATGTATTCTCTCATATTTTTTTTTTTTTTTTTATTATCACACCGGCCGATTCCCACCAAGGCAGGGTGGCCCGAAAAAGAAAAACTTTCACCATCATTCACTCCATCACTGTCTTGCCAGAAGGGTGCTTTACACTACAGTTTTTAAACTGCAACATTAACACCCCTCCTTCAGAGTGCAGGCACTGTACTTCCCATCTCCAGGACTCAAGTCCGGCCTGCCGGTTTCCCTGAATCCCTTCATAAATGTTACTTTGCTCACACTCCAACAGCACGTCAAGTATTAAAAACCATTTGTCTCCATTCACTCCTATCAAACACGCTCACGCATGCCTGCTGGAAGTCCAAGCCCCTCGCACACAAAACCTCCTTTACCCCCTCCCTCCAACCCTTCCTAGGCCGACCCCTACCCCGCCTTCCTTCCACTACAGACTGATACACTCTTGAAGTCATTCTGTTTCGCTCCATTCTCTCTACATGTCCGAACCACCTCAACAACCCTTCCTCAGCCCTCTGGACAACAGTTTTGGTAATCCCGCACCTCCTCCTAACTTCCAAACTACGAATTCTCTGCACTATATTCACACCACACATTGCCCTCAGACATGACATCTCCACTGCCTCCAGCCTTCTCCTCGCTGCAACATTCATCACCCACGCTTCACACCCATATAAGAGCGTTGGTAAAACTATACTCTCATACATTCCCCTCTTTGCCTCCAAGGACAAAGTTCTTTGTCTCCACAGACTCCTAAGTGCACCACTCACTCTTTTTCCCTCATCAATTCTATGATTCACCTCATCTTTCATAGACCCATCCGCTGACACGTCCACTCCCAAATATCTGAATACGTTCACCTCCTCCATACTCTCTCCCTCCAATCTGATATTCAATCTTTCATCACCTAATCTTTTTGTTATCCTCATAACCTTACTCTTTCCTGTATTCACCTTTAATTTTCTTCTTTTGCACACCCTACCAAATTCATCCACCAATCTCTGCAACTTCTCTTCAGAATCTCCCAAGAGCACAGTGTCATCAGCAAAGAGCAGCTGTGACAACTCCCACTTTGTGTGTGATTCTTTATCTTTTAACTCCACGCCTCTTGCCAAGACCCTCGCATTTACTTCTCTTACAACCCCATCTATAAATATATTAAACAACCACGGTGACATCACACATCCTTGTCTAAGGCCTACTTTTACTGGGAAAAAATTTCCCTCTTTCCTACATACTCTAACTTGAGCCTCACTATCCTCGTAAAAACTCTTCACTGCTTTCAGTAACCTACCTCCTACACCATACACTTGCAACATCTGCCACATTGCCCCCCTATCCACCCTGTCATACGCCCTTTCCAAATCCATAAATGCCACAAAGACCTCTTTAGCCTTATCTAAATACTGTTCACTTATATGTTTCACTGTAAACACCTGGTCCACACACCCCCTACCTTTCCTAAAGCCTCCTTGTTCATCTGCTATCCTATTCTCCGTCTTACTCTTAATTCTTTCAATTATAACTCTACCATACACTTTACCAGGTACACTCAACAGACATATCTAGGCCCAAATTTACTGCTCACAGCTTATCAGAGTGAGCTGAGCTCATGGCGTAGATCTACGGTTTGGACCCTCAACGTATAGCCGTAGATCTACGGCACGGACCCTCGAAGGGCTAAAAGCGTGGGAGGGGGAGATAGAGAGTTGGAGTGGTTGGTAGTTTTGTTTAATAAATGTATGAAAGAGGGGAAGGTACCTAGGGATTGTCAGTGTGTGTGTATATTTCCTTTATATAAAGGGAAGGGGGACAAAAGAGATTATAAAAATCATAGGGCAATGAGTTTACTGAGTATACCAGGTAAAGTGTACAGTAGGGTTATTATTGAAAGAATTAGAAGTAAGACAGATGAGCAAGGAGGCTTTAGAATGGGTAGAGGATGTGTTGATCAGTTGTTTACATTGAAGGATATATGTGAAAAGTATTTAAATAAAGGTAGGGAAGTTTTCATTGCATTTATGGATTTAACAAAGGCATATGATAGAGTGGATAGGGGAGTAATGTGGCAGAAGTTGTAAGTGTATGGAATAAGTAGTATGTTAGTAAATGTTGTAAAGAGTTTTTATGACAATAGACTCAGTTTAGGGTATGTAGGAAAGGAGATGACTTCCCAGTAAAAGTATGTATTAGACAGGGATGTGCAATGCCACCATGGTTGTTTAACAAATTTATAGATGGGATTGTAAAAGAAGTAAATGCTAGGGTGTTCGGGAGAGGGGTGGGATTAAATTATGGGGAATCAAATGCAAAACAGGAGTTGACACAGTTGTTTTTTGTTGATGATACTATGATACTCTACTTTTCGGGGATTGTAAAGAAAAGTTGCAAACTTTAGTGGACGAGTTTGAGAGGGTGTGTAAAGGTAGAAAGTTGAAAGTGAACATAGATAAGAATAAGGTGATGAGGGTATCAAATGATTTAGATAGGGAAAAATTGGATATCATATTGGAGGGAGGGAGTATGAAGTGAATGTTTTCAGATATTTGGGAGTTGACTTCTCAGTGGATGGGTTTATGAAGGATGAGGTTAACCAAATAATTGATGAAGGAAAATAGGTGAGTGGTGCATTGAGGTATCTGTAGAGAATGTAGTGGTCCCAACACTTTTATCGGTGTGAAGCATGGGTTGTAAATGCTGCAGCGAGGAAGCGGCTGGGAACAGTGATGTCCTGTCTAAGGGCAGTGTGTGGTGTAAATATTATGCAGAGAATTTGGAGTGTGAAAATTAGGAGGTGTGGAGTTATTAAAAGTACTTATTAGTCAGAGGGCTGAAGAGGAGGTGTAGTCATTTAGAAAGAGTGGAATAAAGTAGAATAACTTGGAGAGCGTATAAATCTGTAGGGAAAGGAAGGCGGGGTAGAGGTCATCCCCAAAAATGTTGGAGGGGGGGGTCAAGGAGGTTTTGTGGGCGAGGGGCTTGAATTTCAGCAAGCGTTAATGAGCATGTTAGGAGTGAATATAGACGAATAGTTTTTTGACGAGCTATTGGAGTGTGAACAGGGTAATATTTTATGAGGGGATTCAGGAAAACCGGTTAGCTGGACTTGAGTCCTGGATAACTTGAGTCCTGGAAATTGGAAGTACAATGCCTGCACTTTAAAGGAGGGGTTTGGGATATTGGCAGTTAGGAGGGACATCTAAACTGTCATATTTGAGTGCCTTTGTAAATACAGTGATTTTGTATGAGTGATGAGGAAAGTTTTAAATGATGATGGAAGTTTTTTCTTTCTTTTTGTGTTTTTCTTTTTGAGTCACCCTGCCTTGGTGGGAAATGGCCAACGTGTTAAAAAAGTGTGAGGGGGTTGTTGGTTGTGGTGGTGGGGGCTACTAAACCCAGCAATAATAACAACACATGGAGATAACCTATAGGTAGTAGGTTGGTAGACAGCAACTGCCCAGGGAGGTACTACCGTCCTGCCAAGTGAGTGTAAAATAGAAACCTGTAATTGTTTTACATGATGGTAGGATTGCCGGTGTCTTTTTTCTGTCTCATAAACATGCATGATTTCAGGTACGTCCTGCTGCTACTACTACTTACATTTAGGTCACACTACACATACATGTGCAAGCATATATATATACACACCCCTCTGGGTTTTCTTCTATTTTCTTTCTAGTTCTTGTTCTTGTTTACTTCCTCTTAACCCCATGGGGAAGTGGAACAGAATTCTTCCTCCGTAAGCCATGCGTGTCGTAAGAGGCGACTAAAATGCCGGGAGCAAGGCGTTAGTAACCTCTTCTGTATATATTACTAACTTTAAAAGGAGAAACTTTCGTTTTTCCTTTTGGGCCACCCCACCTCAGTGGGATACAGCTGGTATGTTGAAAAAAAAAATTGGAGATAACCAAAGAAGTTTTTCTCTTTTTTTTTTGATAGCTTGCCTTCATATTATGGTGGGTATTGTTCTGGGCAGCATGTAAGTTTTGGTGAATTGCAAAGCTTTAAAAAATATTTAGTTGGGTATTTTGAGGGGTCTAACAAACATAACTTTTTTTTTTCCCATATGTTTTTCATTTCAGTTGAAATTTTTTTTTTATTAGATGCCGTTTTCAGAAACATAACTACCATTCTTATTGACGGTCAGCTGTAATTTTTTTAATGTATATGTGGAGTGATTATATATATTTATGAGTTTAACTTCTTTAGGCTATGGAAGAGGAGGAGGAGGAAGTCACTAGTAGCAAGAATAAGAGAGGTTCTAAAGGAAAGCGTAAACGACAAGATGAAATGGAGAACGACGATGACCCTAAGCCCAAAAAACGTGGACGTCCTGCTAGGGAAAAGCCAGGACCCAAAAATAAAAGGCTCATTCGTCAGTTAAAACGCCTTATGGACATTGTGATAAAGTATGAAGATAGGTAAGTAGTTTTCACCTGATTGTGTAACTGTTGGAATTTATTATTTTTTTTTTTAACACCCCACCGAGGTGGGGTGACCCAAAAAGAAAGAAAAAAAACAACAATCTTTCATCTTCATTCAATACTTTCACCATCATTCATACATAATCACTGTCTTTGCAGAGGCGCTCAGATACAGCAGTTTAGATGTCACTCCAAACAGCCAATATCCCAAACTCTTCCTTTAAAGTGCAGGCATTGTACTTCCCACCTCCAGGACTCAGGTCCGGCTAACCGGTTTCCCTGAATCCCTTCATAAAATATTACCCTGATCACACTTCAACAGCTCGTCATGTCCCAAAACCCATTCGTCTCCATTCTAACATCTTCATGCATGCTTGCTGGAAGTCCAAGTCTTTAATTTATAAAGTTTCTTATATTATTATTATTTTTTTTTTTTAACAAGTCAGCCATCTCCCACCGAGGCAGGGTGACCCAAAAAGAAAGAAAACCCCAAAAAAGAAAATACTTTCATCATCATTCAACACTTTCACCTCACTCACACATAATCACTGTTTTTGCAGAGGTGGCCAGAATACAACAGTTTAGAAGCATATATATATAAAGATGCACAACATATCCCTCCAAACTGCGAATATCCCGAACCCCTCCTTTAAAGTGCAGACATTGTACTTCCCATTTCCAGTACTCAAGTCTGGCTATATAAAAATAACCGGTTTCCCTGAATCCCTTCACTAAATATTACCCTGCTCACACTCAACAGCTCGTCAGGTCCCAAATACCATTCGTCTCCATTCACTCCTATCAAACATGCTCACACACACTTGCTGGAAGTCCAAGCCCCTCACCCACAAAACCTCCTTTACCTAGATATTTCCCACCAAGGTAGGGTGGTGCAAAAATGAAAAACTTTCACTGTCATTCTCCATCACTGTCTTGAGAGAGGTGCGCTTACTCTACAGTTATAAAACTGCAACATTACAACTCCTCCTTCAAAGTGCAGGCACTGTACTTCCCATCTCCAGGACTCAAGTCCAGCCTGCCAGTTTCTCTGAATTCCTTCATAAATGTTACCTTGCTCACACTCCAACAGCACATCAAGTCCTAAAAACCATTTGTCTCCATTTGCTTCTATCTAACATGCATGCTTGCTGGAAGTCCAAGCCTCTCGGCCACAAAACCTCTTTTATCCCCTCCCTCCAATCTTTCCTAGGCAGACGTCTGCCTCGCCTTCTCTCCACTACAGATTTATACACACTCGAAGTCATTCTGTTTTGTTTCATCCTCTCTGCATGTCTGAACCACCTCAATAACCCCCCTCAGTCTTATTTTTATCAAATGTTCAAGGTATTAGCATACTTATTGTGAATTATGTTTTTAGTTTTGCTTATAATTTATTTTATCAACATATTGTTGATATATATGTGGAGACAAAAATTTTTATCAATGGAGGCAAAGAAGGGAATGTTTGAAAGTACAGTGGACCCTCGACTAACGCTATTAATCCGTTCCTGAGAGCTCATCGTTAGTCAAAATTATCGTTAGTCAAGTTAATTTTCCCCATAAGAAATAATGGAAATCAAATTAATCCTTGTAGGACACCCCAAAGTATGAAAAAAAATTGTTTTTACCACATGGAATATTAATTTTAATACACACAAACTGAAGAAGACATGCACAGTTACATGACACTTACCTTTATTGAAGATCTGGTGATGATTGATGGGATGGGAGGAGGGGAGAGTGTTGATGGTCTCAGTGTTTAGAAGGGGAATCCCCTTCCATTAGGACTTGAGGTGGCAAGTCTTTTACCGGGGTTACTTCCCTTCCCTTTAAATCTCTCAAACCAACCTTTGCTGGTCTTAAATTCACTCACATCACCACTAGTTGCTGGCATTTTTTTAATTAAATCGTCATGAAACTTCCTAGCCTTTTCACTTATGATCGCTTGAGAGATGCTATCTCCTGCTATCTGTTTTTCGTTTATCCACGCCAATAACAGTCTCTCAACATCTTCGAGTACTTGCGATCTCAGTTTCGAAAACATAGTTGCACCTTTGGCAAGAACAGCTTCCTTGATTGCCGTTTTCTTGGCCACAATAGAAGCGATGGTTGATTGAGGTTTTGTGTACAACCTGGCCAGCTCGGAGACACGCACTCCACTTCATACTTAGCAATGATCTCTTTCTTCATATCCATAGTAGTTCTCACCCTTTTTGCTGTAGGGTTGGCACTAGAAGCCTTCTTGGGGCCCATGGTGACTTATTTTGCAGGTGCAATCACTAAAAAGGCTGTGATAATATGAAATGTTCTGATTGTATGCTTGGAAGCGACCGCGGTGGCTGGCTGGCTTGTAAACACTGGCGAGAAGTGGACGCGTTTCAGACGGAACGAATAGTGTTGGTCGAGTTTTTTAGCGCTAGTCGAGGCAAAAATTTTGCGTCAAAATGTATCGCTAGTCGGATTTATCGTTAATCGATGCCATCGTTGGTCGAGGGCCCACTGTATAGTGGTACCAACAATCTCATATGGGTGTGAAGCTTTGGTTGTGAATGCTACAGCGAGGAGGCAGTTGGAAGCAGTGGAGATGTCCTGTCTAAGGGCAATGTGTGGTGTAAATATCATGCAGAGAATTCGAAGTGTGGAAATTAGGAGAAGGTGTGGAGTTAATAAAAGTATTAATCAAGAGGGCTGAAGAGAGGTTGTTGAGGTGGTTTGGTCATTTAGAGAAAATGGATCAAAGTAGAATGACTTGGAGAGCGTATAAATCTGTAGGGGAAGGAAGGCGAGGTAGGGGTCGTCCTCAAAAAGGTTGGAGGGAAGGGGTAAAGGAGGTTTTGTGGGCCAGGGGCTTGGACTTTCAGCAAGCGTGCATGAGTTTGTTAGATGGGAATGAATGGAGACGAATAGTTTTTGGGACCTGACGAGCTGTTGCAGTGTGAGCAGGGTAATATTTAGTGAAGGGATTCATGTAGGTAGTAGGTTGGTTGACAGCAACCACCCAAGGGGGTACTACCGTCCTGCCAATTGAGTGTGAAACGAAAGCCTGTAATTGTTTTACATGATGGTAGGATTGCTGGTGTCTTTTCTCTGTCTCATAAATATGCAAGATTACAGGTACGTCTTGCTACTTCTACTTACACTTAGGTCACACTACACATACATGTGCATGTTTATTTATACACACTCATCTGAGTTTTCTTTGATTTTATCTTAATAGTTCTTGGTCTTATTACTTTTCCTTTTATATCTATGGGGAAGTGGAATAAGAATCTTTCCTCCGTAAGCCATGCGTGTTGTAAAAGTCAACTAAAATGCCGGGAACAATGGGCTAGTAACCCCTTTTCCTGTAATAATTACTAAAAAGAATAAGAAGAAGAAATTTGTCAAAGTGGGAAGTTTGAATGTGCGTGGATGTTGTGCAAATGATAAGAAAGAGATGATTGTGGATGTTATGAATGAGAAGAAGCTGGATGTCCTGGCTTTAAGTGAAACAAAGCTGAAGGGGGTGGGAGAGTTTCAATGGAGAGGAATAAATGGGATTAGATCAGGGCTTTCAAATAGAGTTAGAGCTAAAGGAGTAGCAATAAAGTTGAAAGATATGTTATGGCAGGAAAAGAGGGACTCTAAATGTATTAATTCAAGGATTATGTGAAGTAAAATAAAGATTGGATGTGAAAAGTGGGTTATAGTAAGTGTGTATGCACCTGGAGAAGAGAGAAGTGTAGAGGAGAGAGAGAGATTTTGGGAAATGTTGAGTGAATGCATGGGGAGTTTTGAACCAAGTGTGAGAGTAATGGTGGTTGGGGATTTTAATGCTAAAGTGGGCAAAAATGTTGTGGAGGGTGTAGTAGGTAAATTTTGGGTGTCAGGGGTAAATGAAAATGGGGAGCCTTTAATTGAGCTATGTGTAGAAAGAGGTTTGGTAATAAGTAATACATATTTTATGAAGAAGAGGATAAATAAATATACAAGTTATGATATAGCACATACTGAAAGTAGTTTGTTAGATTATGTATTAGTGGATAAAAGGTTGATGGGTAGGCTCCAGGATGTACACGTTTATAGAGGGGCAACTGATATATCGGATCATTATTTAGTTGTAGCTACAGTTAGAGCAAGAGGTAGATGGGAAAAGAGGAAAATGGCAACAACAAGCAAGAGGGAGGTGAAAATGTATAAACTAAGGGAAGAGGAAGTTTGGGCGAGATATAAGCAACTATTGGCAGAAAGGTGGGTTGGTGAAAGTATGAGTAGTGGGGGGGGTTGAAGAGGGTTGGAATAGTTTTAAAAATGCAGTATTAGAATATGGGGCAGAAGTTTGTGGTTATACGAGGGTGGGTGCAGGAGGAAAGAGGAGTAATTGGTGGAATGATGAAGTAAAGGGTGTGATAAAAGAGAAAAAGGTAGCTTATGGAAGGTTTTTACAAAGCAGAAGTGTTATAAGAAGAGTAGAGTATATGGAGAGTAAAAGAAAGGTGAAGAGATTGTAAAAGGAGAGCAGATGATAGAGTGGGATTTTAATGAATTTTAATGAAAATAAGAAAAAATTTTGGAGTGAGTTAAACAAGTTAAGAAACCCTAGAGAACGAATGGATTTGTCAGTTAAAAACAGAGTAGGGGAGCTAGTAGATGGGGAGACGGAGGTTTTGGGTAGATGGCGAGAATATTTTGAGGAACTTTTAAGGCATTACGTAGGATGAGAGGGGGTAAAGCAGCTGGAACTGACGAGATCATGACAGAAATGTTAAAAGCAGGGGGAGGGGATATAGTGTTGGAGTGGTTGGTATTTTTGTTTAATAAATGTATGAAAGAGGAGAAGGTACCTAGGGATTGGCAGAGAGCATGTATAGTGCCGTTATATAAAGGGAAGAGGGACAAAAGAGATTGTAAAAATTATAGAGGAATAAGTTTACCGAGTATACCAGGAATAGTGTACGGTAGGGTTATAATTGAAAGAATTAGAGGTAAGAAAGAATGTAGGATTGCGGATGAGCAAGGAGGTTTCAGAGTGAGTAGGGGATGTGTAGATCAAGTGTTTACATTGAAGCATATATGTGAACAGTATTTAGATAAAGGTAGGGAAGTTTTTATTGCATTTATGGATTTAGAAAAGGCATATGATAGAGTGGATAGAGGAGCAATGTGGCAGATGGAATAGGTGGTAAGTTACTAAGTGCTGTAAAGAGTTTTTATGAGGATAGTGAGGCTCAGGTTAGGGTGTGTAGAAGAGAGGGAGACTACTTCCCAGTAAAAGTAGGTCTTAGACAGGGATGTGTAATGTCACCGTGGTTGTTTAATATATTTATAGATGGGGTTGTAAAAGAAGTAAATGCTAGGGTGTTGAGGAGAGGGGTGGGATTAAATTATGGGGAATTAAATACAAAATGGGAATTGACACAGCTGCTTTTTGCTGATGATACTGTGCTTATGGGAAATTCTAAAGAAAAATTGCGAAGGTTAGTGGATGAGTTTGGGAGTGTGTGTAAAGGTAGAAAGTTGAAAGTGAACATAGAAAAGAGTAAGGTGATGAGGGTATCAAATAATTTAGATAATGAAAAATTGGATATTAAATTGGGGAGGAAGAGTATGGAAGAAGTGAATGTTTTCAGATACTTGGGAGTTGATGTGTCAGCGGGTGGATTTATGAAGGATGAGGTTAATCATAGAATTGATGAGGAAAAAAGGTGAGTGGTGCATTGAGGTATATGTGGAGACAAAAAACGTTAACTGTGGAGGCAAAGAAGGGAATGTATGAAAGTATAGTAGTACCAGCACTCTTATATGGGTGTGAAGCTTGGGTTGTGAACGCAGCAGCGAGGAGGCGGTTGGAGGCAGCGGAGATGTCCTGTCTAAGGGCAATGTGTGGTGTAAATATTATGCAGAAGATTCGGAGTGTGAAAATTAGGAGAAGGTGTGGAGTTAATAAAAGTATTAGTCAGAGGGCTGAAGAGGGGTTGTTGAGGTGGTTTGGTCATTTAGAGAAATTGATCAAAGTAGAATGACATGGAGAGCGTATAAATCTGTAGGGGAAGGAAGGCGGGGTAGGGGTCGTCCATGAAAAGGTTGGAAGGAAGGGGTAAGGGAGGTTTTGTGGGCAAGGGGCTTGGACTTCGAGCAGGCGTGCATGAGCGTGTTCGATAGGAGTGAATGGAGATGAATGGTATTTGGGACCTGACGATCTGTTGGATTGTGAGCAGGGTAATATGTAGTGAAGGGATTCAGGGAAACCGGTTATTTTTATATAGCCAGACTTGAGTCCTGGAAATGGGAAGTACAATGCCTGCACTCTCAAGGAGGGATTCGGGATATTAGCAGTTTGGAGGGATATGTTGTGTATCTTTATACATATATGCTTCTAAACTATTGTGTTCTGAGCACCTCTGCAAAAACAGTGATTATGTGCGAGTGAGGTGAAAGTGTTGAATGATGATGAAAGTATTTTCTTTTTGGTTCACCCTGCCTGGGTGGGAGACGGCTGACTTATTAATAATAAAAAAAAAAATTCAAGGAAATCGGTTATTTTTATATAGCCAGACATGAGTTCTGGAAATGGGAAGTACAATGCCTGCACTTTAAAGGGTTATTGGCAGTTTGGGATATTGGCAGTTTGGAGGGATGTGTAATAGGACAGTATATATATAATTGGGGCCCTGATATTATATTCTATAGGGAGTTTATTATATTATTTCAGGTCACTTTTTGTATTGCATCTTTATATGTGGTTCTAAAGTATTGTATCTGGGCACCTCTGCAAAAACAGTGATTATGTATGAGTGTGGTGGAAGTGTTAAATGATGATAAAAGTATTTTAATTTTGGGGATTTTCTTTCTTTTTGGATCACCCTGCCTAGGTGGGAGACTGCCGACTTGTTAAAAAAAAAATTGTTGCACAAGGAACAGGATGTTAAATGAAATGTATTCTTTGTTGCTAAATGAAACTACACTAAGTAAACTCTCATAAAGTGTAGTATAACTACACACCCAGTAACCTCACTCATACCCCCCTATCACCCACAACCCCATCTCACCCACACCACCCATAAACCCCCCACCCACCTATATCACCCACACCCCTGACCCACACCATCTGCCCCTATAATTCCCCCACAGCCACACACCTTAACCCACATCATTCCAATTAACAATCTCCACTCATGCAACTTCCCCATGGTCACATGCCTTCCACACCATTCCAACCAGTCAGGTCCACTCACACAACTCCCCACAGCCACATTCCTTCACTCACACCATTCTAACCTGCAGCCTCCACCCACGCAGCTCCCCCATGACTACATGCCTTCACCCACATCAATCCAACCAACAACCTACCCATGCATAGCTCACACCCACACCCACACCTACACCATTTTCTCACTACCTGAAGACCACACCTTGCCTGGCCCCTCACCCTAACAAATAGTCTACACACCTAATCACTTAGTCACCCACCACCCTCATTACTGCCTACACCCCCTCCCCCACACACACACTCATGAGTCACCACTGACAACCACACCTTTCACCCATATGTTAACTCCCCTGCAGCCTCTTGCCCATATGGCCCCACTCCTACACCTTATTCATGCCTTCACTCACACCACTCCTTACCCCCCACAGCTTCAAGTCCACACAGCCCTACTTCCACAGCCCATACCTTACCCATGCTTTTATGGTCCACACACTTAGCATAGTCACATACCACCCTCATTACTGCCCACACCAACACCTGCACACCCATCCAGTCACCCACACCAGGCCCACTGTCATTGCCACCCAAACGGTCACCATCACACTGCCTCGTTACTACCAGACTCACCCCTTTATGCCCCTCCACCATTCAGTCTTCACCTCCCACAACAGCAATCTCCCATCCCTGCACCACATCCCTGCTTACCCCAACTGCTTTTACTACTATCGTGCACACCCCTACCACTAACCCCTCCATGATTCCCATACAGTAGCAGTGAGTAAGACGACCAAACAAAGTAGCTCTGTCTTCTAACAGAGATGTGGTTTCAGGATCTTTGATGTATATCACTTTATTGACTTTCAATTACTTTTTTTTTTCTCTCCAACAAACCGGCCATATGCCACTAAGGCAGGGTGTCCCAAAAAGAAAAATTAATTTTTTTTCTTAAATTAGTAATTTATACAGTAGAAGGGGTTACTAGCCCCTTGAATTACATTATTATCATTATTTTTTACAGTTTTGAGACCTATAAAAAATGAGGTTGGCTTTTTTGGGGAGGTGTAAAGAATGTAACCTTATTATTCCCATATACTCTACGATTTGTTTTACGTGAATTTTTATCACATGCCATTTTCAAGATCATAATTTCTGTTATCTGACAGTCTATTACAACTAGGTGGCCCTATTTGAGTCTGTGAAGTTTTACATAGTTGAAGAAACTCAAGACTACACAAGTATTCTGTATTTTGCAGTTTTGTTTACTATACTTGGTGGTGCTGAGAGAGAAAGCCAGTTATAATTATTGTTGTTGTTATTTTTATTATCATTGTTATGATGCTAAAATATGACATTGGAGAACTCTCCTTTACTGAGCTCTCATATGATCAAGGCGTGTTTGTGTAGGGTTTTCATCATCTTTGATGTTGTTGAAGTATATTTCAAGTTGTTTGCTGAATTTTAATTTGGTATTGACATTGTGCTATTTTCTGGTTTTCCAGTGATGGTCGGGTACTCAGTGAACCTTTCATGAAGTTGCCATCCCGCCGTGAACTTCCAGATTATTATGGGATAATTAAGAGACCTATGGATATATGCAAGATCTTGAGTAAAATTGATGAAGGAAGAGTAAGTTGTGAATGTGTAATTTCTCAATTAACATTTGAGAAAATAGACAAAATAATGTCAGTTTTTGTCAACTGTACTTAAAATAGAAGGCATGTAGAAGTGAATGTACTTTTAAGCCCATATCCTTGTGTAATATGCTGTAAAGTACATGTATTCTGAATAGTAAGTACTGCATGTAATATTGTAAGTATGAGTCATATTGATATAATAAGACATTAAATGGAATGTGAAGGATAAGAAAGATAAGGGAGAGCATGACTTATCATTTAGAGAACACAATAAGGTCAGTACTGCAAACACCAGAAAAATTACTGTATGGATAATAAGAACTTTCAAAACAAGAGAAACATTAACAATGGTTACACTGTTCAGATCACTTGTGCTCTCATACCTTGAATGTTTCTGGTAAGGAAGGGGCTCTCTTGATCCAACTAATTGTACCAACCTTACCCTTTGGATCCAACCAGAATGCCTCTCATTTTCCCCAGGTTCTGTATGACCTCCTGATTCAGTGTTTTTCTATGAATGTAATAAAATTATTAATAGAGGGCAGCTGCTAAGTAACATTTTAGTTATTTGCAAGGCAATAAAATTGTCTTATGGATACTATCATTCTTTTTACTTAATGTTCCTCCTCATTTTGGAGATTTTGTATGGTCCACTTTTTTTTTTTATTGCTTTAAAGTTTCTATCTTCTTTCAGTGCTTTAGAGTTTCTATTTTTTCAGCTAATAAATATGTACTGGAAATTACACTGTTGTTTGTTTATCTTTTTTCAGTATGAAGACCTGAATGACTTGGAGAGTGACTTTATGCTCCTTTGTCGCAATGCCCAAGAATACAATGAAGAGGCATCCATCATCTACGAGGACTCCATTGTAATGCAGAGTGTCTTTGTTAATGCTCGTGAGCGTATAGAGACAGAGACTGATACTCTTGCTGAGGAAGGTTGGTAATTTGCTTGACTTTACAGTTTAGAATGTAATCTAAGTTGTGGAAACAGACACTGCTATCCAGCTATAAAAATCATGGATAAACCTGGATTTTTTCTTTTTAATTTTTCTCCATTATTTCAGTGTTGAAATTTGAAAAGAAAACTATAGTGTGAAAGCCTTTTTTTTTTTTTTTTTTTTAACTCGCAGCACTGTAGATTGTGAAAGATATGAAACGTTGATAAAATCTTTAATGTTTTGTTAACATACTTCATATAGGAACATTATGCACATGTTAATCAGAATGGATTTGTGATTATAGAAAGGTTGTAATTATGTGATCATTGAACATAATCCTTTTTTTTTTTTTTTTTTGTATTCCTTAAAAAAGTATTTACAATTAATTATACACATTAATATTTCTGCCACAATGTTTTATGTATGTGTCTGCAGATGATGATGATGATGATGAAGAGGAGGAAGAGGAAGACAGTAGAGGGAAGAAGGGGAAGAAAAATAAGGGAGATAAAAGCAGAGGGAGAAGGAAAAGAGTTAAATATGCTGATGATTCCGATGATGATGAGGAGGAGGAGGATGATGATGATGACAATGTGAGTAAGAAAGAAGCAGAATGAAACTTTATTGAGTCCTTGGGCTTTGGATTGAAAGCATTTATAGCACTGAGTAAAAACTACTACATTAATCATAGTGTTATGTAATGTCCTACACTACAGTACTTGATATGTAAAATACAAAATGTTTGTAAGTTTGTTTTATAATTGATTGGTCATAATTTTTTCCTCAGTTGACATCAATTGAACTTACTACAGTGCCAGAACTCAACAAATATGATAACATGCATATAACTGCTCCTTTCACTCACAACAACTGATTGGGATTTTTTTATGAGTTTCCCCAGTTTATCTGCTCTTATGCTGTAACATGTGTGTCCTATAATTTAACTATAGCTTTATCGCTGATGTGCCACTCGGTGTCACAAATTTTATTGATCTTACGAGCATTTTCAATTTGTATCCAGATGGGTAAAGTATACATGTTAATGTAAGCAGTAAAGTAGGTGGAATATCAGTATAAAAACGTTCTATTTTATTGTGTAGATCTTGTAATTTTCTGTTAAGATTATAAGTTCCTTCTCTTTAATTATTTGAATTCCAAGAGACATTTTTCCTGTTTTTCGTGTAAGTGATTTTCCTTATTTTCACACTTTTTCAGTGATGTGACATCAGGTTGGAGATTACGAGTCGTTGGAAAGATCTAGTTCACTCTCAGCTTGCCTTAACACACCTAAAGATCAGTAAATTATTAAATGACTTTTTGTCTCGTCAGAAGTTCTCTTCCCGGGCTGTAGCGATAACTTTGTTGTACATTATAAGGCTAGTCCTGAACTTTTTTAGCAGAAGATAGGTTCAAGAAATTAGTAAGGGGCATTGGTGGTAATGGGTTATAGTATGTGGCTTCAAATGTCATGGAATACAATTTGGAATTATTGCTTAAATTGCTTCTTATAAACCTTCTACTTGACTATATGTTACATTATGACAACTATTTAATAATATATTTTATGAAGACCAAACTGCAGTGGCAGTAATATTTTAAGGTACAGTATGTTGTTTATAGAGTTAGCAGCATGCGAGTGTTGGAAATTCAAGTCTGAGTTTTAAATTTGTCACATCAAAAAGCATTAAAAGCATGTTATGTCCCATTTTACATTTAAATTGATGAGGGCATACTGTTATTTCATTTTGGAAACTTAAATATTAAATGAATATTTTTGTGTAGTTCTGTTTGTAGTCTAGACTGTAAAACAATTTAAAATTACTCATTTTTATTAATAAAAATAGATCATATCAGAAAATAAAGAAATATAAAAGCATTTTCATGATCTAGTTCTTTCTTCCTTACCTTTATAGTATTCACAATTATATAATATGTGCATTTATGACTCGAGTGCATTTTTTTTTTCAAGTCGGCCGTCTCCCACTGAGGCAGGGTGACCCAAAAAGAAAGAAAATCCCCAAAAAGAAAATATTTTCGTCATCATTCAACACTTTCACCTCACTCACACATAATCACTGTTTTTGCAGAGGTGCTCAGAACACAACAGTTTAGAAGTATATACATATAAAGATACACAACATATCCCTCCAAACTGCTAATATCCCAAAACCCTCCTTTAGAGTACAGGCATTGTACTTCCCATTTCCAGGACTCAAGTCTGGCTATATAAAAATAACCGGTTTCCCTGAATCCCTTCACTAAATATTACCCTGCTCACACTCCAACAGATCGTCAGGTCCCAAATACCATTCATCTCCATTCACTCCTATCGAACACGCTCATGCATGCCTCCTGGAAGTCCAAGCCCCTCGCCCACAAAACCTCCCTTACCCCTTCCTTCCAACCTTTTCGAGGACAACCCCTACCCCGCCTTCCTTCTACAGATTTAAATGCTCTCCATGTCATTCTACTTTGATCCATTCTCTCTAAATTACCAAACCACCTCAACAACCCCTCTTCAGCCCTCTGACTAATACTTTTATTAACTCCACACCTTCTCCTAATTTCCACACTCCGAATTTTCTGCATAATACAGTGGACCCTCGACCAACGATGGCATCGTCTAACATTAAATCCGACTAGCGATACATATTAATGCAAAAATTTTGCCTTGACTAGCGCTAAAAAACTCAACCAACACGATTCGTTCCATCTGAGACGCATCCACTTGTGGCCAGTGTTTACAAGCCAGCCAGCCACCGTGGTTCCATCCAAACATACAATCAGAACATTTCATATTATCACAGCGTTTTTAGTGATTGCACCTGCAAAATAAGTCATCATGGGCCCCAAGAAAGCTTCTAGTGCCAACCCTACAGCAAAAAGGGTGAGAATTACTTTGGATATGAAGAAAGAGATCATTGCTAAGTATGAAAGTGGAGTGTGTGTCTCCGAGCTGGCCAGGTTGTACACGAAACCCCAATCAACCATCGCTACTATTGTGGCTAAGAAAATGGCAATCAAGGAAGCTGTTCTTGCCAAAGGTGCAACTATGTTTTCGAAACTGAGATCGCAAGTGATAGAAGATGTTGAGAGACTGTTATTGGTGTGGATAAACGAAAAACAGATAGCAGGAGATAGCATCTCTCAAGCGATCATATGTGAAAAGGCTAGGAAGTTGCATGAGGATTTAATTAGAAAAATGCCTGCAACTAGTGGTGATGTGAGTGAATTTAAGGTCAGCAAAGCTTGGTTTGAGAGATTTAAGAATCATAGTGGCATACATAGTGTGATAAGGCATGGTGAGGCTGCCAGTTTGGACCAAAAAGCAGCTGATTTTTTTTTAACAAGTTGGCCGTCTCCCACAGAGGCAGGGTGACCCAAAAGAGAAAGAAAATCCCCAAAAAGAAAATACTTTCATCATCATTCAACACATTCACCACACTTGCACATTATCACTGTTTTTGCAGAGGTGCTCAGAATACAACAGTTTAGAAGCATATACATATAAAGATACACAACATATCCCTCCAAACTGCCAGTATCCCAAACCCCTCCTTTAAAGTGCAGGCATTGTACTTCCCATTTCCAGGACTCAAGTCCGACTATATGAAAATAACCGGATTCCCTGAATCCCTTCACTAAATATTACCCTGCTCACAATCCAACAGATCGTCAGGTCCCAAGTACCATTCGTCTCCATTCACTCCTATCTAACACGCTAACGCACGCTTGCTGGAAGTCCAAGCCCCTTGCCCACAAAACCTCCTTTACCCCCTCTCTCCAACCCTTTCGAGGACGACCCCTACCTCGCCTTCCTTCCCCTATAGATTTATATGCTTTCCATGTCATTCTACTTTGATCCATTCTCTCTAAATGACCAAACCACCTCAACAACCCCTCTTCTGCCCTCTGACTAATACTTTTATTAACTCCACACCTTTTCCTAATTTCCACACTACGAATTTTCTGCATAATACTTACACCACACATTGCCCTTAGACAGGACATCTCCACTGCCTCCAACCGCCTCCTCGCTGCTGCATTCACAACCCAAGCCTCACACCCATATAAGAGTGTTGGTACTATTACACTTTCATACATTCCCTTCTTTTCCTCCATAGATAACGTTTTTTGACTCCACATATACCTCAACGCACCACTCACCTTTTTTCCCTCATCAATTCTATGATTAACCTCATCCTTCATAAATCCATCCGCCGACACGTCAACTCCCAAGTATCTGAAAACATTCACTTCTTCCATACTCCTCCTCCCCAATTTGATATCCAATTTTTCTTTATCTAAATCATTTGATACCTTCATCACCTTACTCTTTTCTATGTTCACTTTCAACTTTCTACCTTTACACACAGCCCTTGTGGCTTAGCGCTTCTTTTTGATTATAACAATACCTTTACACACACTCAACTCATCCACTAACCTTTGCAATTTTTCTTTAGAATCTCCCATAAGCACAGTATCATCAGCAAAAAGTAACTGTGTCAATTCCCATTTTGTATTTGATTCCCCATAATTTAATCCCACCCCTCTCCCGAACACCCTAGCATTTACTTCTTTTACAACCCCATCTATAAATATATTAAACAACCATGGTGACATTACACATCCCTGTCTAAGACCTACTTTTACCAGGAAGTAGTCTCCCTCTCTTCTACACACCCTAACCTGAGCCTCACTATCCTCATAAAAACTCTTTACAGCATTTAGTAACTTACCACCTATTCCATATACTTGCAACATCTGCCACATTGCTCCTCTATCCACTCTATCATATGCCTTTTCTAAATCCATAAATGCAATAAAAACTTCCCTACCTTTATCTAAATATTGTTCACGTATATGCTTCAATGTAAACATATCTTTCTCATTTTATAGTATAGTATGCAAGTCTCCTTGAAACAATTATACATAGACAACTATCCTTCTTTGCTGGCTTGGTAAGATGCTAGTTGTCTGTTTTGTTTCCTTCCATAACCTTCATTATTATTATTATAATTATGGGGGAAGCGCTAAACCCGGAGGATTATACAGCACCTGGGGGGGGGGATGTGGAAGGCATTCAGGCTTAATTCGGGGAACTGGAGCACAGATCCAATTCCCTAAATCAAGAGCCCCTCACCAACATCAAGGAACCTTCCTTGAGGGGTCCATAACCTTCAGTCCTGAAACTTATAGAATAATCACTGATATTAGTAAAGCTTCTTTCCATTTCATAAACATGCAAGATAAAAGATATATCTTGCTACTACTTCTACTTACACTTAGGTCACACACACACACACATACCGTGTACGTTAGGCCCATATTGGAGTATGCGGCACCAGTTTGGAACCCACACCTAGCCAAGCACGTAAAGAAACTAGAGAAAGTGCAAAGGTTTGCAACAAGACTAGTCCCAGAGCTAAGAGGTATGTCCTACGAGGAGAGGTTAAGGGAAATCAACCTGACGACACTGGAGGACAGGAGAGATAGGGGGGACATGATAACGACATACAAAATACTGAGAGGAATTGACAAGGTGGACAAAGACAGGATGTTCCAAAGATTGGACACAGTAACAAGGGGACACAGTTGGAAGCTGAAGACACAGATGAATCACAGGGATGTTAGGAAGTATTTCTTCAGCCACAGAGTAGTCAGTAAGTGGAATAGTTTGGGAAGTGATGTAGTGGAGGCAGGATCCATACATAGCTTCAAGCAGAGGTATGATAAAGCTCACGGCTCAGGGAGAGTGACCTAGTAGCGATCAGTGAAGAGGCGGGGCCAGGAGCTCGGACTCGACCCCCGCAACCTCAACTAGGTGAGTACAACTAGGTGAGTACACACACACACTCACACACACTCACATACACATACACACACACACACATACACACATACACTCACACACACACACATGTACGTATATACAACAGGCCTAGTGTCTAATCAACATGTGCCTAGGACAAAATGGTAACTAACACACACTACACACTACACACACGATTATCACGTTAGTTGTTAGGTAAGACACATATGCAACAGTTAATGGTGTTTTCTAAAGTGGTGGTTCCCAGAGGATACATATAAATCTCAGTGGTAAGAAGAAACTTGAACTACTTAATAAGGAAGGTTGAGTGTTGTATCACAGTGGCAAGGATCTCTGCCACTTTACTCTACTTCATCTCTCCACCTTAAAATATAAGATAAGTCAAATTACTGTAAGTTACTGTAAAATTAGAATACATACTGAACATATACAGTATTGTACAAGAGTACTACAGCCTCTCCTCAGTGAGTGACGTACTTGTTAACCGATAACTCCGACTTAACACACGCTCTCTCACCAGTATGTATACATAAATAATGTATATTAGAGCTGATTTCCTCTATTCTGTTTATTACAATATACAGTAAACTACTGTACAAACATTTAAAATTATACTAAAAATGTTATAAATGGTGCAAAGGTGAGATTAAAACAATATCAAAGATGGTTGACACAAACCCACTACCATTATAGTATGCTCCTTGTTTAGGGACAAATTAGTTTACTAACGTGGTCTTAAGAACGGAATTCCATCATTAAGTGAGGATTTTTATTATTATAATAATAAAGAAGTGCTAAACCACAAGGGCTATTCAGCATTAAGTGAGGAGAGGCTGTATTATACTGTACAGTAGCACTGTACATGTATAGTACTATTGTACAGTACTTTAAACTTTATGTATTTTTATTTATGATACTTTCATAGTATTGTGTTCTTTTTACAGGTTACAATATTTTTAATGTGCAGTAGTATTCCGAATCAATGGACCAAGTCCACTGATTCCAAACTTTGTCCATTTATGTTAAAATCATGAAAAATTAATTT